TTGAAACAAACAAATCTCTCAATTTTTTTTCTTTTTGTTTGCAGCATATTCCAAAATATTTTTACGAACACCTTCCTGAATCACATAGCACAGCGGTTCTTCACTATGATGGCGAGCCTTGGTTTATGGAAATTAACATGGGTAAGCGGAGATGGTTCAAAGACGGTTGGAAATATTTTGTGATGAATAATAACATCAAGCGGGGTTGGTTAATTAACTTTGAGTTGGTCGAAATTACAGAATTCTGTGTTATCTTCCAATTGCACGTGACAGGCCGAGGAACTCTCCAAGATCCCGTTGAAATTAACTAGTTATGTTTTGTCTTCCCAGTTTGTGTTGTTTTTAACTTTTGTTAGCTTTTTTTTATGTAATATGTACTTTTATTTTCCAGTTTGGTTATTATGTAATGTGTATTTTGATTTCGGACTCTTTTGATTTTCCAGTTATCAAATTGGTATATCACTTAGTATCATTTCATTGCCCTAACTACAAACCCTAACTATATAGTTGGAATGTGAATAGTTTTTAGTTCAAAAAAGGGTTGGTAACCGAAATAATAAATGCAAGTCAACTAACACCAAATTTCCCCTGAAATAAATGCAATTCAACTAACATCATTAATTACGACAATTCAAACAAAACCAGATAGTGTGGCCAAAAATAGGTTGTTTTTTTCACTGACAGAAAATCAGGATGTTTGATACTGGCTTGGCCCCTATAAATATGGTCACATACTCAAACACTACAGACCTAAAATACTCACAAACCCTAGTTTACTCTTCTACTAGCAGTGACGACATATCTTACTCTTCTACTTCCAGTGATATTGAAGAAGAGATTCCTCCAACTTTTGAAGTGATTATGACTGATTCATGCACTTAAAATTCAACCTAATTCTACCTACACACTACTAAAACGGTTGGGAATAATAAATGCTTCATAGTAACTAAATGTGAGTATTTTAGTTCTTAGTTTGAACTGATTATAATGTTATGAAGTCTTTCACTTCTAATCACATTTTCTTAGTGTAGTCCGATAAAATGAAGTAAGAATAAAATGAAGAAATATTTAACAATGATAATTATTATCTCACACGTTTAAATTATTACAAAACAACGTCAAAAAATTCAAAAAAATCTATATCAAATCAAATTAAATAAGATTCAAACTTAAATCATCTCAAACTAAACGGTCAAGTCTTCTATCTCCCAGTCTGCTTCATCGTTAAGATCAGGCAAGCTACTGTGTGCTTGTACTGTTGCATCATCTTGCTGTATAGAGTAAATAATACTAATAAGCAATGTATTTTCGGAAAAAAATATAATAATAATTTGTTATACTTTACCTCAATTCCTTCCGCTAGCCCAGTATTTCCACCACCTCTACCACCACCTCTACCACGGCCTCTACCACCACCTCTACCACCACTTCTACCACCACCTCTGCCAACACCTCTGCCAACACCTCTACCACCACCTCTACCCCTCCTATTACCTCTAACTCCACTTCCACCAGCCGTTTGTGAACTTCTAAAGTATGAATCAATTCGCCCTCTATATCTATTCAACCTTGGACGTCCACGAGAAGCTACGTATCTAGGATCTCTTATATTTCTTCCTTCACCATCACCCTCACCCTCACCCTCACCCTCACCCTCACCTTCACCCCCACCCTCACCCACACCATCATGTGTATCTTCAAATTCCCAATCTGGAATTATCATTTGATCATCATCCTAATTCAAAAGGTCATGCTCCAATCTGTTCAAATGATACTTAATATATCGCCTCATCACTTCAGTGTCCAATGCTATATCACAAACCCATTCAAAATGCTTTAATAGTTCCCTGTACATCATGTATTCAGAAGTCATACGTGGGTAACCTCCAAGAAAGAAACGTTTCAAGTGCGGACGAACAACATCTTTTCTCCACCTTCTCAATATATACCTCTCATTAACGTTATTAATCCTCTTATGAGACAACACCTTAAGTATATGGCAGCATAGAATACCTCTTGTTTCAAACCACTTGCAGCTGCAACTTAGATATTCTCCAATAGGTGTATATTAAACCGCGAATACAAATGGATCTCTAGTGTTAAAACTCCTGAACGAATAATCTGAGATAATGTAATTCTCTACCCCTGTTGTTGCTTGATGGTCTTCAGGGGAGCTGATTTCACAGTGGTACAGTTTCCTTAACTGTACTTGAAAAAATTCAAACACTTCACGAGTATAACATGTTTGAAATTTTTCCTCCCATGCAAATTCAGATAAACATTTTGGTTCAAAGCACCTTGACCTATATTCAGCTTCCAATTCTTTCTCGAACTTAGCTCTTATGGCTAACTCATATTGCTGAACAAATAGCTTCAAAGTGCTTTGCCGGTTGATGAATCCGTCAAAGAAAGCATGCATTCCTTCACTTCTTTGTGTGGACAACATCCCAGCCCAAAAGTGGTCATTTAGGTATACCGGAACCCATTTCTCCTTCTCCAAATAAAGCTTATAAAACCAATCCCTTTCCTCTAAGTTATATTTTTCAATAAAATCAGTCCATCGTCTCTCAAACTCAGCAACGTTAATGCTATCAAGGACTAAAGCCTTAAATTCTACCTTTGCAATCTTACCATCAAGAACTCCGCTTAACTTCGTAGGCAACTTTGCGAATATGTGCCATATACAATATCTATGTATTGTATTTGGCATCATAGCACTGATGGCAGCCTTTATACTATCACATTGGTCAGTCATGATAGCTAATGGATGAACATTGTTTAGAGCCCCAAGCCATGTAGATAGCACCATTTTGTAACTTGTTATATCCTCACTAGACATAAGAGCACATCCCAAAAGTATGGACTGCCTATGCTGATTGACACCAACAAATGAAGCAAATGACATATTGTATCGATTCACAAGGTATGTGGTATCAAGGCATATTACATCATGGAACTCCTCATATGCAACCTTAGAGTGTGAATGAACCCATACGACAT